ATGGCTTTGGATATAGACTGTTGCAAGTCTGACGAAAGTTTGTCACTGAGCTACAGCAGCTGCATACGGAACTACCTCATACTCCTTCCCTCCCATGACAGCTCAATCATTGATGGACATCCCCTGGGGTGGCTACCTGAGGCTCCGTAGGAAGGGAACAGCCTGAGATACCCCTGTATTCAGACCAGGGTGGGTTTGAGCTTAGTCTCTTGCACAAGTTTACAGCAGATCCTCATCCTGGTTTTGCAGAGGAAGCACTGAGATTTTTTTCAGACTTATTCGTTGCAATGAGAAGTTGAAGTTGCAGTAAGCTTAGAAACCAGTTCACCAGAATCCAACAATGCTACAGAAAGTCACCACAAACAGGTCTACAATGATAGCACACAGAGTGAAAATTAGTATGTGTCCTGTAAATAATTGCCTTCATGCCTCATTGCAAATGCAGTAGTTAAACATTCTTGTCTTGTGAGTAATTTCCTATTCACAGTTTGTGGGAAGGCATAAATGTAAAGAAAACAGGTTTGGGGTCCTTTTGTTGGGTTTTTTGTTTTGTTTTTAAGTCTGCTAATTTCAATTCACAAACACCATGGGAGCCTGCAATTCCAATTTTCTTTTCACAGTATTAATGAAAACTGGGCACTGAAAATAGTCAGATTTTTCCCTGTAAATTTTAAACCACTTAGAAATACAGTCAAGAATAATAACTTCCTAATCCATGATTACACAATGTAAAACTGTGCTCAATTGCTATTATTTCATGCAAAGTTTTTCTTAAGTGGTAGAAGAGGCTTTTAAAAATCAGTCTGTCCTGGTTTCAGCTGGGATAGAGTTAATTTTCTTCCTAGTAGCTGGCATAGTGCTGAGTTTTGGATTTAGTATGTGAATAACGTTGGTAACACACTGATGGTTTAGTTGTTGCTAAGCAGGATTTACACCAGTCAAGGACTTTTCAGCTTCCCATGCTCTGCCAGGGGCACAAGAAGCTGGGAGGGGGCACAGCCAGCACAGCTGACCCAAACTGGCCTAAGGGCTATTCCATACCATATGACATCATGCTCAGTATAGAGACTGGGGGGAGTTGGCCAGGGGGCAGCAATCACTGCTCAGTCAATGGGTGGTGAGAGGTTGCATACCTTTTTTCCTGCGGTTTGTTCCTCTTCCTTTTTTTGTTGTTGTCTTCCTTTTCCCTACTTTTTTTTTTTAAACTTTTTTTTTATTTTATTTCAGTTATTAAACTGTTCTTATCTCAACCCATGAGTTTTCTTACTTTTGCCCTTCCAATTTTCTCCCCCATCCCCCTGGGAGTGGGAAGGTGAGTGAGCGGCTGTGTGGGGCTTAGTTGCCAGCTGGGGTTAAACCATGATAGTCTCTTCTAAGCTGGTCTTTGAGGCAGTCCAAAAAGGCTGGTAGTATGCTGTTCATAGAAAGAGTTGTGCATCAGAGAAGTTGTTTTAAGAAGGGATCATTCCACCACAAGATGACTTTTATTTCCTCGCACTGTTATGGTGTGCTCTGAGCATAATCAGTCTTTATGATTTTCTCTTGTTCCTAATCAAACCATCCTCAACTTACTATAGATTGTTTCAGGATTTGGGGGGATGATTTTTTATTCTTAAAAATTGGGGTCATTTTTATAACATTTAATCTTCACATTGACCTATAAGATATTTAGCTTCTCATTTACATTAAAAAAATATTTGGGATGAAGATAGTGTCTTTTTGGTGCTGCAGACACTAACAGAGACTGCAACCAGATAGCAGACAAGGTTGCCTGTAGACATACCTCTACTGTTGTGCCAAGAGCTCATGATTCTGCCTGGTTCAGCTACCAAGATGCTGAGAAGAAAGCGGCATCATGTGTTTCTCAAAGAGTTGGGAAACAAAGAGCAAGATTTCTGCAACCTTATAATCTTCACTTGCTGTCCATTGAGATCATCTGTTGTCTCTTGGCAATAGTTCCTGTCTTACAGGGGGGAAAAAAATCCAGGTAAATTCCCCTCGGGTGCTCCAGTCTTAGTCAAATAAAGGTCCTACTTAAATAGAAGGCAGCTATTTCAGCAATGTTATGGATTTCAGAAGAAGTGTAGGCTAGCCTCTTCCTAGTGGCCTTTTCCTCCCTATCTCAGAATAGGCCACTTGCTTTAGCATGTGCTCCATTAGCCTTTCTTACCTAAAATGCTCCCAGACAAACCCATATGCTTTGTAAAACCTCCCTCCTATATCCTCCTCTTTCATTTGCCTTGCGAGGCCCTGGTAGGTTAAGAGCATATGCTAATGTAAACGGAAGAAAAATAGCAAGAAGTCATTTCCCTTGCTGAGCTGCTCCTTTTACAAAAGTCCAAACAAATGTAACAACAGATGCTTTGAAAATGTTCTAAGTTTAAATAACATTAATGTAGTGGTTGAATATTCCTGAGACAGATGGGATAAATGAGATAATTGTGAAAACATTCTTAAAAATAAAAGATGCCATCAGGTGAAAGGCAGGAATTTAGGTAACGTTGAAAAATATTCCTTACATGGTTTTTAGGTTGCAATGTTAAAAGAATGTTTTCCTCTGAGCAAGCTGTTAAGTGTCATTTAATAGACATTAATTGTAAAGTTAGTTGATGGCATTTGGCCCAAATGTCTGTATTTTAAAGAGAAAGAGCAGCTGTTATTCCATCAGGTATTGACAGAGTTTACTCAGTTGCTTCAATTATTTCTCAGACAGAAATTAATTTCCTGAAATCCTATACAGTAAGATAAGACTTTGTCTCATTTTCATTCACTATGGAGATACTCAGGAGTCTTTATTCTGCAACAGTGCATTGTCTCTTGTAAAACAATAAATGACATCCTATGTGTAAAAGAATTTCCATTTTCTACAATAGCTACAATGAAGAAACAGGATCTAAAACACTCACTGACTACTTTGAGACAGACCACATTTCTTGGTAGGGTAGCAGCTACCATGAAATAAGAAAAAAATCTTAGAGCCTTCTAAATCGAAACTTTAAGACATAGAAAATACCAGTTGTACCAACTAAACTTTTCAGTCTTACTGTAGTGCCTCTGTTCTTTCAGCCAAATAAAATGTCACCTTCTTTAAACCTATGTGGGATAACTGCCAGGAAGGGGTGTTTCAACAATAAAAACAGAAATCACCAATAAATAAATGATGAGTAATACCAAGGTGGGGAGGGAACTTAGTTCTTTTTGGGGGTTGTGGCTTTTTTCATTGTATTTTATTATTCATAGGGCAATTGTGGATGCCTGTAGCTGGTGGCTGCTTTTAATTCTGGTTGTCCAAACCTGTTGCGATTTTTTGACCAGTGTTGATAGCTTGCATGGCATTACCTTTAATGTAGTCTCCTCAAAATCATCATCTTCCTATTATGTCTTTACAGTGCAAAAAAAAGTGACTATGGGGCATAGCGTGCTTTCGTGCACCTTGAGCAAGACACTTCTCTAATACACTTCAGTGAAATGCTAGCTGTAGACAAGGCCTGATAAAGCGAACCTTATGAATACATTGTAAAACTATTGTTTAATAATACTTCTAGGTAGCATTTATATTTTTCCGACTGCGTTTTTAGCCATGCAATAATGATTTAAAATGTGGTTTCTATAAGCCAGCCTGGATGCTTAATGAGAGCGTTCCACACTGCTCAGTGGGAAACATGGGTTCACCCACTGCTCTTTTCTTGCGCCTGAGCTGAGCCAAGGCTGGCAGTGCTGACGGTACCCAGCCTCGCAGGAGTTTGGAAATGCTGGTATAATTAGAGGAATATTGCATAGACCCAGGTCACTTCATTTTTATCCATGACACTTGCTAAGTTACAGAAGAAGATCCATCTCAGCTATTGCAACTTAAAAGCAATTCTATACAAAGATCTGCCTCTCCTCCTTCTGCAAAATGCAATAAAGAAAGGAGATAATGGGAAACGCATAAGCACTCTGTGTGCTGTGAGCATTTAACCCAGAAATTCCTCCTGGAATTAGGCTTTCATTCCACATGGCTGTGCAAGGGGATAAAATGTGCCAGACAGCACAATAGTTCCTATCAAGAAGACTTTACAGTCTGAAGACATAGGTCAGTTCAGTTCATATCACAACTGAGAAGACCAGAGTCTGGCCTGAGAAGTGTGTTCTTAGAAGGCTGAGCCCTTGCTCAGTGAAATTTGAGGTTTTTTCTGGGCATAAAGCGTTGCTTGAAGGAACATTTGGTATTGGTGTCAATGACGAGAAGAAGGAATGGGAGAAGTTGCTTGAAAAAGTGCTTTAAAGTGTAGTCATATTCAAGGAAGACTCCATGAATTAGAAAAGAGAGGTTAGGGTTGGATAGCTCTTTAAAAGTAATAAAAGTAAATAAAATTCATTTGGGGGAAAAAAAGGAAACAAAATAAATTAGAAGGAAAGGAGAAATTGAGAAGCTTGCTGAGGGAAGTTTAAAGGAGAGCTGAGGATACCTTATTTGTAGCCAATTTATTGGCTCTTATCATTTATTATTAGGGGGAATTTTGATTTTTTTTCCTCCATTCTGTTTGGTAGTCTGTCTTATTATCACTGTCCTCTCCATAAGTACTGTAGTGTCACTTTTTGTTCTTTACAGAAGGTGAGGGAGAGACAGGGAGGAAGTGGGAGAGGGAGATCCTTTCCTCCCAGATGTTCATGTTCTGGCATTTAAGTTGCGGCATGCCTGTTATTCCAGATTATTTGGCATTCTTTGCTTAATAACAGCATTTGGAAAAATTATACTTTCGAAGGCTAAAATGACATTTTTTCTTTCTGTCCTTTTCCTTGTTCAAAAGCCTATTTCCTTGTGCTGACAGACCTGAAAAAGGAACAAGCTGCAAACCTAAATGTTTTCCAACTGGCAGAGTAGGGCACATTGATAGGCAGCCCTGGCCCCATGAGCTCAATGAGAAAGATGCATGTTTGTAGCAGGTAGATATGGCTAATTCTTCAATGTGCAAACTCAAGAATAACCTCTCCCTTATTTCATTATCTACCTACAGCAAATCCTACCAGGGCAGGAGGAGGAAGGGAGTACCCTGGCTCGTCCGAGGTGATTCGTGAATCCAGCAGCACAACAGGCATGGTGGTTGGGATCGTGGCAGCAGCAGCGCTGTGTATCCTCATTCTCCTGTATGCTATGTACAAGTACAGGAATCGAGACGAAGGATCGTATCACGTAGATGAGAGTCGAAACTACATCAGTAACTCAGCACAATCCAATGGGGCTGTGATCAAGGAAAAACAGCCCAACAGCGCTAAAAGTTCCAACAAAAACAAGAAAAATAAGGATAAGGAGTACTATGTCTGATCTCAACATCTAAAAGAACGCTTGTATAGAAATAGTCTTCATTTTATCTGAGACATAATACAAACTTACTTACTTTACTTTTTATGAAGCACATTCAAAAACAAACAAACAAAAAGACAGGGAATGCAATCAGAAAGGAAAGACTGTTTTTAAAAACAAGCATTTCGTGCTCTTGTTTTTCAGAAACAGGAGCTGATAAATTCCCTAACATCCACAGTGTTTTCATTTACTCTGCCTGTCTTTATGTTGCTGGAACATTTCTGAAAGACAATGATGACACCACGCATTCATAAAGCAAGGAGTATTACTACAACATCAAGGCACAATATGAAACAAAACAAATTAAAAAAACAAAACAGGAAAAAAAAAGAAAAAAAGAAGCTACCTATGATTCTGGATTTAGCCAAAGTGCTAGCGCTTTCTTGAGAAGTAAGTTAGTCTTATTGTCAGAGAAGACTGTCATTATATATGGTGACTCAACAAGCAAACATAAAGAGTTTGCCGTCTGGTGCAGTGAAGCAGTGATTGGAAACTTGCATTTGAAACAAAGTGCTGGCTTTTCTGAAGACTTACGTAGAAATACTTTCAAAAAGCCCCTTTCTGGTTGTGAGGAAAATAGTACGGAGGCCTTATTTTCAAAAACGAAAACAAAAATCTGGAATATAAGGCACATTTCCAAAAAAAAAAAAAAAAAAAGAAAAAAACAAACAAGAGGGCATAGATGCAATCATTGGGAAATTTTCATGCACGCTTAATATGTTATTACATATGTTTATATAAAAACACATCTATATGTGCTTTCTGGACTGTGATAAGTGATGTTTTATAGCCTGTTGTATAGAAAATGCAAACTATATCTGCTCTTCAGCCATTTTTGGTAAACTCAATGTTATAAGTGTTGCTAGGTATAGAGAGTTTTATGACATCTGGAGCAACAGACATACTTCAGTTTTTTTGCAGCCATTATAAATTGTCCCAGACTTCTTCCCCTTTTTTTTTCTTTAATTTACAGTGTAGTGGTTATACTAAGGGGGATGTGTATGAATGTATATAAGAGTCAGCTAATTTTTTTCTTACCTGTACAGCCTCTATTCTGTTGCAATTAAGTTTTAGTAGTTTGTATGAAAGAAGTGGACTAGAAAGCAAAAATATATCTCTACTGTAATTTGTCTTCTCCCTCCTATCCCCATCTCTTGCTCCTGATATGCATCAATGAAGTTGATCAGAATGGCCAATTTTCCTAGAAATATACGTTCATTAATTAGCTAAATATTTAGTGACTTAAACTGGCCTTTGGCTTCCAGTCAAAGCTTCACTATTGGAGAGCATGGTTTGCCTTACAGAAACCCTGTTCTTAAGAAATTATGAGAATGATGAGTTTTTTGAGAATCTTAGGAAGTATCATATAGTGTTTATCTGGCATTCAGTTATATGAACGACAGCTACGACAGCATTGGGTGGTAAAAGATCTAAAAAGACCCATTTTAATTATCCAGGCTGATTCTACTGCAGAATTTACCCCTTTCTTCAAAAAGGAAATAATCTTGAGGTGCACGATAGTATTTTTCAACGGTGGGCATTTTGACATATGAAAAAGTATTTTTAGCTAAGTTTGATTGTGTAGTATTGCAAGACATCATAACCAGGCAAATATAAGTTCATCATGTTTTAAAGTAACACATAGCTTTTCCTGCATATATAAAACATTAATGCATTTTAGTTAAACATATTAAATATAATGCTGTAATTTACATGTTAAAGTTTTTTTCTAGTATTATCTCATTAGGTTCACAGCAATAAATCATAGCGTAACAGTTTATTTACACAGAAGTTCAAAGGGAATACATTAGACAGAAAGAGGGTAGTTCAATAGAAATCAACCAAATCGTTGGAAGGCCTCCTGGGAGGGATATAGATGTTCACACTTTACAGACCGGAAGGAGGAATCTAAAATTAGCTTTAAACAGCACGCACAAAACATTTTGTTGTGTGTTATTCACTGTAGCTGATGAAAAAGGCTGGAAACTGGTACAGCTATCTATCTGGGAGTCAGAGCACTTTAAAAAATACATGTAGCTGACATGAAAACACCTCTCTTGCCGGTTGCCAACCACATCAAGGTGTGTCATGTTGCATTTGTAAAACAATTTTTTTTTTTAATTTTCATTAGCATTTACACAAAAATGAGAACAGGTTCACAGAATCCATCTGAGGTTCATTTCTTAGATTGTTGTTCACCTGTGGCATTCATAATTTCTCCCACCTTTACAAGACAGCTGTACTCAGGGAACAGCAGGGTCAGGTACACTGGGGGTCATTGCTGGAAGCAAGAGACTTCAGCTGGAGGGGGGAAAGAAGAAGTTGAAAGCCAGGTGGTGTTCAGATTTCAGTGCTTGAAGATACGTAGAAGAAGAAGAATAATCTGATGACAGGAGACTGGACGTGACAGAATATGGTTTGGGCGAGATGAAATGGTCTTTTCTGCTTGGTATTGATTACATTAATGAAATAGCATGGTCAGGTCAACTTCCAGGCAGTTTGGTAGATTAATCTTTAACTAAATCCATACATCAAGGAAAAAAAGATCTGCTACTACTATAATAAGCAAACACAATTTTAACACCGTTTCTGAAGGTTCTCCTTTTTCCTCTTTAATTTCGTAATTAAACAGAAAACAAATATGGATGTATCAGAAGTGCCAGCAAGTGGATTTAAAATTCCTTTTTGTTTAAAAACAGCAGCAACAACAAACAAAGAAACAGACATAAACCAACTACCTAACATAAAATTGGATCCTTTCTCTATAATAACCTAATTTGTTTGACTGAGATGGCTTCATTTCTATGACTGTATTGTGTTGCCTTTTTTAACAAAACACTAAATAACGTGTGAAACTTTCAACCCTAAGACATCGAAGAGAGGCCCAATGCCCCTAACCTTATAGTGCTTTCTGTGATAGATATTTACGATTTTTTTATTTGTTGCAAGGCCAATTTATTCATTATTGGAAATGCTAAGCAAGTGGAATTTACTGTTTTGTTAATAAAAATGTTTCTTAATACAAATGCTGGCTTGTTTCTTCTCTTGCTTTTAGATCTGGAGTACCCATACATCTTAAAGCGGTGAAAAAAAAAATGGTAAACTGGCATGAAGTTACAGACATTAATGTCAGGAAAAAGTGACCTCAGAGCTCTTTGTACACTTTAGTGAAAACCTTCTAAAAGTCTTGTGTTCAAATGGCCCAGTTAGAAAATGATGAATTACATGAATACATTATTTGCTTTTGCATATTATTACTTCATCTGAAATTTTCTAGATTTTATTTTTTTTAAAAAATCAAGAAATTAAAACTTGATGTTCCCCTCCCCCTATGAATGAAAAAAGAATTCCCTTCTTTTTCCACCACTTTTTTTTTCTGGTGGAAAGAAGATGGCAGAAGGTAAGGTAATGGGATGAAAAGTTAAAAAATGAAAATATTTTCTCTTGCCTAGAAGGTGGTTTAAAAATTACTGGAAAAATGAATGTATTTCATGTCCTTAAAAACATTCCTAGATAATAATTACAAAATTTCAACCAGAGCTAATCCATTACATAAGTACTTTCCTGTTTAGCATGGCATTTAAATTCATGGGTAACTTCAAGCAAACATCTAATCCTATTGATTTAAGCAAGTGTCTAAAGTTGCTTAAATGTATTGCTGAATGGGGATGGAGTTAAGCTTTTGGATCTAAACTCCAAATAGAATTTAAGGATGTATCTTCTCTAATCACATCAGTAGCTTCTTTGACTTCAATGGGATTTATTCATCTACTTAATTAGGTAGAGACTGAAGTATCTTAGATAATTTAAGTTCAGGAATATCTAGAGGAAACAGCCCCTATCTTCCATTGGTATAAAACAGTTTATAGTTAAACTTACATTCTAAACTGCTTTATACTGGGATTAGTATTTGTGCGTGTGTGCATGCACGCGTGTGTATTTTTATTTAAATACTGAACATTAAATTTAGGAGAATGCATTATACACATTTAAAGCAGCTATAACAATAGTGATTTTTGTTCTTCTACAAAACCCCACATTTAATTATGCACTTTTTAATTCTACAATGTATTTTTAATTTTTTTTTCTTACACCTATACTGTTCTCTCCCTTTCACCAAAATCCTAATAGCCTCTCAATACCTGCATCATTCATCATCAGCTAACTGCTTTAGGCACTGGCCTCTATAATGAATCATCACTGTGGCCAAGTAGCTAAAAAAACCTTCACAAGATGAGGAAAAAAAAGAGAAAAAACTAAACAACTCCCCCAAATGCAACTTAGAATAAGGGAAATGGAGCACACATGTAGGCTGTAAATGACAACTGTGTTAATTCCTTCAATATGACTTCTTTATAGTTCAACAAAATAGTTTTAAATTGGGTATCTAGATATGATTTTCATATTGTTTACAGAAATTTGCTTCTAAGTTCACTTAGTCCTTTTTAGAGGCACTTGGAAGACTTGTCAATACAATTTTATTTGGAATAAAGGGTATTTACCTTATTTCAAAGCCCCCACTTTGTTGGAGTCTGTAAGTATTTCAGCATGGTTCTGGCCCTCATGGGAGTGGGGAGAAATAAAAATCCATGCTGCATTTAAATCAATTAATGAAATGATGACTACTTGGGGGTGATAAAATTTCTTGCCTGCCAGACTCTGATTTGTCTGGATGGTCTATTCCTCCTTTGGTTGGTCATCGCTCTCCATGAAACCAGAAGTGTCCCCCCATGGGTTAAGATTTGAGGTAGAAATTCCATAAAAGAAAAAAGTCACTGATATAGGTCTGCTCAGTTTTGTGAGATGCAGGGCCAGAACTCACCCAGTCCTTTGCCCACTTACTTTGGAGTCTTCTTCCTACTGAAGGTCTTTGGCAGACTTCAGCCATCAACCCTTGACTTCTGGAAAAGAAAACATGGCCCCTCGCATTTCTCAGTTACTCACTACCATACAAATATCTT